GTTTTTTTTGAATTTTCTTCGAGATAAATATTTTTACCTGTCATTTAATATAGATTTAGTTTGATTTAGCTTTAATTAAGGATTTGGTCTGTTAAATAACTAATTGTCTAAAGAAACCAATGTGATTGTTGTTGTATATGGTCTTAAAAAAACTATCGTGGTCGTAATTTTATATATCGTATACTCAAAATTTCTTCATTGATGATCGCTGAGAACATGCAATCTTAATAATGATGCATGCTAGATCATTGAATTTGACACTTTATTACCTGAATCCTTATATAATCTAATACTAATTTAGAACAGTTAGTAACTTAAACATTTTATATATGTTGCACAAACACTATAACGCATATACTGCTATTGTCATAAACTCGATATATGGTATAATCTTTTTTCACATGTTCAAATTTTTTATATTCAAATTTATGGATTCTATCGCTATGGATTGCTTGAGCACAATCGATTTTGGAGTGATCATCACCATTATTTCAAATGTCTATGATTAGTGATAGGACTAAGGGTGCTAAAAATTAAAATATCATACACTGTGATCTATCAAAAATATTAGATCCTTAATAAATTATTAAATGTGTCAATTAAGTATCACCATTTTTTAATCTCTGTAGTTCCATCACTATCTATAATTTTGCAAATCATGATAATATATTACTTTTGTCTTTTGGTTGTACTAATAATCTATAGCACTGATTTTTTGCAAGGTTAATGATTTATTGTCCTTTGATCATGCCAATAATTTATCATGCTGAAATTATTTAACAAATACAATTACAATATAAATTGTACAATTCATGCAAAATAAATATAAATGTTAGAAAGTGACTGTTCAATTCAATCGATAAACGATATCTAATATCTATACCTATTGTCTAATTACTATAATCATGTTGACCCAATTAAATAATCTAAATCGCAATATTGATATTGAAACTTCCAAATTGGGAGATTATCCTAAGAATCGTGTAATTATATATAAAGAAAAAAAATATAATATTACATAGCGGTCTTTTAGTTATTTCATAGTAGCTGAAGGGTCTTATCCACATTATTCTATACTTTGTTATACATTACCTCCTAAAGAATATCCAATTTCTGATAACTATTCCATAAAAACTACATGGAGACGTGAAAAAAAACAACAAACAATCCAATGTGAAATTGAATATAAGGATGGGTGTTCAGAATTTTGAATCTTATTTGGCACATCTTTGAACATGTACTTAAATCAAATGAGTCAACTAGTAAGGTTGCAACAGAGTATAATAAGATACGGTATTAATATATATTTAAAAAATATCATGTGATCATCATGCATTGAGTTTGTATATAGCTGCTTTTAATTGGTCAATTGCTTTTTTTAAATTGCTTATAAAACTGATCAAGATGCTGCATAATATTTATAAGTTAAAATTCTATTTGTAGGTTGTAAATTCAAACAAAAATAGTTTTTTATCTGGGCCACTACTCTTTGGATTACAGCTTCAAACACTTAATAAAGTTAGAAAATCTCGTGATAAATGTATGATTAAACCTGCTGAACAACCTTCACCAAAAACACTTAAAAGATACACAACAGAACTTGAAATTATGATCAAAGAAAATTTTATTCAAAGCACAAAATCCAAGTATCATGATCAAGATTTCGTTAAATTAAAGTCATTTGAGTATGCTGTCAATAATCAAAATTATCTTATTAATTTTGAAAAGGATGATCATATACAAAAAAAAGCTGAAATTTTAAATATAGTTAGGATAATGGATACATATTATATTTCATGAGGTGCTTATCAAAATTTGGTGGCAACAAATTACCACCTACCATGTGAATATATTATTGTAAATGAACAAAATAACCTAACTCAAAAAATGGCTAAAGACATTTCATTTAAACTTATTAATATGAATACAATAATAACAGACGAAGGTTCTGATAATATAGATTAGAATTTAATAATATAGATAATGAATCTAATAATTTAGATTCGAACATAATTAATAACATTATGAATTCTATAGATATAGGTGGTCAGCATGATTGTAAAGGAATACATTGATATTTAATTCCTTATTTGTTGCAAAAAAATATATTATCAGTTGATGATCCAATAATTCATTTGCAGATTTCTGAAGATGGTCGGAATGTTGGCTGAAAAGTCAAGCATGTTATTATTACATTTATAGTTCTTAATGATCAAAAACATTGCCACATACCTAACTATCATTATACGGTTGCCATATATCCAGGAATCAAACAATATGAATCTCTTAAATTCATATTAAACCTATTTCTTAATGATCTTAGAGATCTTAAATCTAATGGATTAGAGGTCACAAATATATTATGATGGTTTAAGTTATACTTTAGTAGCAATTAGAAGTTCCTTGCAATCTGTCTCGAATTAAACACCACAAATTCTAATTATTTTTGTGCTTGATGTCTCTGTTCTAAACATGACACTGGTAATGTAATGCAAGATTGGCAAATCACAAAATCAATAGACGATTTAAAAAATAATTACCTTAATATTCCTGGTCATATTAAGCCATCATTATTTGATATAATTCCTTTGTACAACTACGTATTCGATGAGTTACATTTATTGTTACGAGTTGAAGATCGGCTTTGGACATTAATGTTATCAGAAATCAAAGAGAGAAATCTATTTAATGATATTAGTTATCAAATCATTGTAAACGAAATAAATCAGCTCAATATCAAATTTCAATTTTGGAAAGAATCTAATATATGGAAAAATACATCATTGACCAGTAATGACAAAGTTAAAGTGTTACAACATTTTAATTAAAACACTCTTTTTCGTCCAAGTAGGGTCAAGTTAATTCAATCTTTATAGGACAAATTTATTGATCTGTAAGGCAATATGTGACCAAAATAGCGATCCTTTATATTTAAAAAATTTAGCACTTGAATGATTAAAACTTTTTTTAAAACCTGACGAAAAGAATCCAAAAAATCTAAGTAATATCATAAAAGATCTTTATTTGCCAACTCATATAACTCCCTATATCCATTTTTTGGTATTTCATGGGTGGGAGTTACATCAAAGAAATTGCCAATTGTGATTAAAAGCATTTTCTTGTAATGTGGTAGAAAAAAAAAATTATATGCATATTTCATACTTTTTTTGAAAAACTACCCTGAATGGTGAAAATCCTCTTAAAACAAAACCAGGCACAATAGAAATTTTAGAATATGAGTTACGAACTCTTTTTTATACATATAATGATCTGTTAGTGCAGCAGAAAACCAAAAAACTTCGTATTAAATAAAATTATGTAATATAATTAATATATATGGGCAAAATTTTTTAATTAAAATTAAGTGATAGCAATAGATTTAATGATTTATAAATGATTTACGAAAAGCAATTGACTTATTAAATGAATTATAATTTATAATTATTATGCAGTTTTATAAGTGATTCATATAGTTTTATATAATCATGAATTATAGCTAACGCAATTTTACTAGAAATCATCGATATCACATAACTTAAATGTTTGGATGAAATATTATTCTTGATTTTCAATTAAAAAATCTGACCACAAGTTTATGATATAACAATTACTTATAATTTAATATCATTATTATATTATTTCTCTAGAAACAAAAGAAATCACATAATAAGGCCATTCAAAGAGTTGGTTAACGTCAATATTTTGTGTTCAGGTATGAGGAGGAAGTTTGTGCAGTGCTTTTAATTTTCAGGAGACAGTTATCCAAAAGGGGAAATGACATTAACCAACTAATCAACTTTGAACGGAACCAAATAATCAGCATGCATAATCACTTTTAAGAGAAAGAAATAGCAGTGATAACCGATAATGTTAGCGAGTCAATTGTGTTTATTATAATGAATATTTACAATTTGATAAAGTTGCTTACCATTTCAATTTACAATCATTTTACAACAGCCATATCTCTGACTTGGCAAAATTTGCAATTAAACAAGGATTCAAAGAGATCGCTCAAGTAACTTTGTTATGAAACCTTATTTTTAATGTCAATAAATAAGCATCGTTAATTATATCGAAAATAGTATTTGAGAACCTTTAATATGTTATCATTTGCATATTCAAGTTAACAAAAATTTTGTATAAATACAATTATAGCTGAGTACTATCTTGATCACTTTCTAAATTTGTACCTTTCACCTTTATTGAATCTAATACAGTAATACGTAAAATTCAGAGATAGCAATACTTATATGTTCAATTGTTTTGGTCTAAATTAGGCATGTAAAGTTTATATATTCAAGTGTCTAATTTTATATGACCAATTTGTCTAAATGCAAACTCTGCAATAAAATCAAGTCACTAACCAATTTTGATACTTCAATAATTTAATCCGCATTATTCATTAAGAGAAGGAACCAAACTCCCAAATATGGTTGAAATACCTACAGAAAAAGGTAGTGTTCAAGATATGTGTTACTAGTGGTTACTCGAAAAAAGAACATTTGGTGAGAAAATTGATGTGTTACAAGTGCGTACTCCAAAAAAAAAAAAGAAAAGAGTCAAGGTGCACCCCAAGAGATAGAAATTGTAATAATACCCAATGGTTTCAAATAAATAAGCATTTTTTATTAATGATTTCAAATGCCTTTAAGGCA